AAGATTGTAACCACAGTTCAAGATAAGTAGTTCTTATACGAAGTTCAATGTACATTTAGATTGTTGCAATAGGAAGATATAAGAAGACTCAAATGACTAGCTTATTGATGTTTATGCAAACAAAAGGCTTATTTCATAAACAACACATTTATGCCTTTAGAAATACATAAACTTAACATAAGGAAATGCATCCACTATATAAGTACTACATCTGTGCTACTGTTTATTTATAAACAAATAATACTTAATAAAACAATGCTCTATAATGTGGTCTTCTGTCAGAGCTCTGCATTGGCAGACAAGATTTTAAATTCAATTCTAAGCTTTCAGGCTGTAGATTTTGAAGGGTTTCCATGAAGAGTTTAATTATTTCAATGAGACCTCACTGAATTATGGTGGGAAAAATAGTCAGTTCTTAAGATTTCAGTAAGAACTATGGAGAACACTACCACTACATGTATTTCAGGTTTTTGGGCTAGGCTTTTTCTTCTTCTTTTTGGGGGTTTTATTTTTTGTTTTGGATATGCTGGGTTTGTATGGTTTTATTTTGGTTGTTTGGCTGGTATGTGGGTTTTCTTTCTTTAAATACAAAGGGATGTCGTCTTATCAGTTTCTGGAGCTGAAAGTAATGCATTTACAGATTATTTTACTATTTTCTAGGCACTGCACTAAACTGCATTATTTCAGCCGTCTGAAAGTTCTATGTACCACTGTCTTCAGAGTGTGAAAGCATCAAAACTGGTCATAATTACATCTTTTAAGCATCCTCTCTATAGTTTCATAAGACAACTAATGATTCAGGTGTGCTAGGAAGTACCAGCTTTAACGCTGCAACAGATTTCTTCCAACTTATCTATTATAAACCCTGAAAAAGCACATTATTTGATAATACCATGGTCACTATGCACACATCACTGTGGTAAAATGCCTGTATTGCACATCTGGCTGACAGGTGACAAAAATGCCAATTAATATTTGTTACTTTTGCTATGTTTGCATCTGAAAGCCAGTCTAAAAATATTGCAAGAAGTGAAGGTTACTCAAGCAGAAATCAAAGACAAAACTAACACTTCTTGCTACCAGAGCCAAAGAAGGACTTTCATTCAAAAAATTTGCTCTTAGCAGCTTCATCCCCATATCCTTGGCTAGGCAAAGCAAGATAACAAATGTTAAGATATATTACCTTCAGATGGCAACAAAGAACCAACCGTTAGACATATCATTTTACACTTCTTAATAATTTATTCACACATTTATTTAAAACTGCTTATGTTCACATATCCCACGAGATAGCTGGGAGGTACCCTATTTTGTTAGGCAAACATAATTTACTCTTCCATCACTCCCACTACATGTTTACAATGACTTTCACAAATATCTTATCATGATCCTAGTATCAGAACACTGCAACCTCAAAATGAGAAGGCCTACCAAAATAACCTTGTCATCCCATATAAACACACCCCAATTCAACAAATCATCACACTACCACACATTACGGCATTGTTAAGTAGCAAAACACAAACAAGCCTTTCCTTGTCAAAGGCTCCCCCTTCCACTGCTGTTATACCACCTACTAAAACATCCCAACCCAATTCATCTTTAGGCTCAATTCTGTTCTAAAATCCATGGATTAGCAATATTCAATCTACTACAGGATGTAGTTCTGAAGTAAGGTTTTATCCACATAATTTTCAATAACATAATTTATCACCACAATCCACAGGCCAAAAAGAGCCACCATCCAAATGTTAGTTTATATAAGGTAACCAAAAAGTTATCATGAATGTACAAAAGAATTGTAAATACATATGACCTGATCAGTCTAATGCTTTGCAGCTGTAAGGTTTTTGAAGAAATTACTGTTCATTTTCAAAAGTTTTTATTATCTGAATAAATGCCACGATTACAAAAGCATAGTATGCAGATGCATCTGCCCGTCAGTAGTTTAAGCCTCAGCTGACACCAACTTTGTATTCATAATTAATGTATCATAACTTCACAAAGTAGAAAATGACAATGCTTTCCTCTGAATTGTTATGTATCCAAAAGATAAAGATAAATAAGAATTTATCTTACAGGAGGCTTCCTAACTCACATTTCAAGAAATCTAGAGTCCTTGTACCTCAGAGATTAAAAAACATAAAGGCCAAAAGACCACCCCAAACCCTTCTTTTGCATAACTTTAGCAAACATATGAGAGGTACAGGCACTAGTTTAAAAGAAAACCCCCAAAACCACAAACATTGAACCTTGATTCTTGTTAATATCATTACAGTTATATTTCACAACTGTAGCAAAAAGAGGAAAATTACTACGAATTAACAACAACAATTCCTATATTTAATGTTATTTAAAAATCAAAGTGTTACCTAAGGCAATTACCTTGCAGCCTTTTAATATCTACAGGGAAAAGCCTAAGGGAAAATAATTGACTTTGCTAATTTTACCCTTGGCAATTATAAAATAGCTCTGCATTTCATTACGACTACAGAATTTCATGTCTAATTGTCAGCCCCGAGAGAAGCACAGAGATAAATGCATCATACACAAGCTCAGACGAGTTTAACAGCACAATAAAATTATCTTGGTAGCAGTGAGTTCAGTTAATGTTAAAACCCATTTTAATTTAAATTCTGGTCTATGCATGTCTATGGAGGTTATAGCATACCATGGTCACTACCATGTACGATACGATGCTGCTCATTTCATCAGCCAATTTGCTAAATGCCAGCAAAAAAAGCAGTACTGTGATTTTTACCTTTTACATCACAGAACACAAAACATTATGAAGGAAAGAAGTCACAGTTATTTCACACTGCTAAAAAACAGATGCCAGATTCGAAAATTCATCATTTACAAAAGAATAAATACAGTATGTTTAAATCATTGCACCTGTCAAGAGATTTCTATAGCTTGTACTTCAATTTTTCTTACTTTGCTAGTAGGGTTAGACACATGAAAAAGAATCATTTACTAAGTCAATCAGTTTCCATAATGGCATCCCACTTATCGTATGTAGAAGCTACGAAAGTATTTAGATGTCAGAAAAATGAAAAAAAGTGCTAAAATGTTTTGGCAGAATTTTCCAACATGCAGTATAATGACTGCTTTTAAAAAAAATTATTTCTTGTGCTTCATTTCACTGTAGGCTTGCTTCCTGGCAAGTCTTCAGGGATAATACATTCCTGCTGCAGTACTCACTGATGTACTAAATGCAAAGTAATAGGTGCTATGTTTTATAAAATTTTCCTGTTATGTTGAAACAAAAAATTGATGTAGGGTTAAATCCTTTGGTCTCTCTTGACAATCCTACAAAGTACTAAAAAAAATGAATTTATACAAATCAATAATAATTAGTAAAATCAACTGCACCCCTTTTTGGTTATGGTACGCACTATTTAAAACTATTTTTTTAGTTCTTACTACCAGTTGTCACCATAATGGCTTAACCCACTATTCCAGTAGACTGACATCTAATTTTCTGTCTCTTCTCTTGAATCTCAGCTCTGTGTTAGAAAACGATACCACTTCAGAGAGAAACTGTCACACTCATGATCAAAGGAGTGCAGAAATACTCAACTACCACCATGAGGAGACTTAGCATAAGAATCTAAAAAAAATAGACTCCTTAAACTCATGATTACAACTATGCTGATTATTGACAGTTGCACAGGACAAACATTTATTTTACATTATGATATGGCAGCAATCTTCAAATGTATAAAAAGTACCTCTACAAAAAAGTACTGTTTCCTGTTTCTGCCGGAATGACACACGAAACTCTTCAACCATGCATGTTAGTCTAGCCACATTAGACTGGCACAGGGATGCCCAGGATTCTCTCCACCATGGGAGGTTTTAAGAACAAGCTAGACAAATGCATGTCAAGAATAGTTTGGAGTAGCTGATCATACCTGGCAAAAAGAAGAACTGACTAGAGAGATGATCTCTTAATGTCTCCATCAGTCTCATTTTCTAAGATAATACATATATACAATTTGTTTCTCATTAAAAACATCTCCCTGTAAAGTTTCAAACAGTTTGTATGAGCAACTGGATTGCAGCTGTCCTGTAGAAGCGAGTACATATACAGCAATAGGGTGTTGCCACTGTATTTTGGTGCTGAAAAAAATCTCCAGGAGCAGTTAATTAGAGGTGAGATAAGAAAGGGTTTATTTGCCAAGGCAGTAGATGGTATACGACGCGCGCAGGCCGTGCCTGAGAGGTTACATTTTATAATACCATCCATCCAATCCCAGATGTGCCCACCCTGTGGCCTCTCCTCTGGTCCGCCCCGGGTCCACCTCCTTGAAATGGGTCTGGGGTGTATTTTGGGACCCCTCCTTCATCCATCTTCACCATCATCAGAGCACAAAGGGTACATAGTTACCTAATTTTTGACCGTATTCGGTGGTTTAGGCCCAGATATGCTGTTCTGTCAACCGTCTAGGCCTTGCCTTGACAAAGGACTGAACATTTCTATTATATTTGGGGCTATGAGTGATATAGGGAGGATAGAATGGGGTAAGAGGGTTAAGGAATGTATAAACAAGGGTGCTAGAGAGAGGGAAAGGAACAAGGGACAAAGGTGGGGGGAGGTTGCTGCTTTTAAAATCTACTTCCACTACTTATAAAACTTACAAGTCTTACAAATATTAGAAAAATAAAAAAAAAACACATTAGGGGCTTAAGGCATCAAGGGCAGTCCAATATGCAGGGACATCCAAATGCCTAACAAAGTAATTTTATTAAGAGCAAAAAGTCACCTGAGACAAAGCAATAAAGCCTTTTCCCCCAAGAATTCTCTAAGACAGCAAACCTTTCACAAAGCACAAGGTAAAAGAAAATAACAGACCAAATATGTCTTCAGCTGGCAGTTTGCCAGTGGCGTTGTAGCCTGACATGTCATAAAGATGCCACTGCATGTATCTTCAATTCACCAAAGTAACCACTCACCCGTTACTACAGTGTTTCAGAATGTGTACTAAAGATATCACCACAGTAATTCCATAGGAGAGCGGTAAACATGTTCACAGCAGCAGCAGCCTGTCAATCCATCTACAGCTATATTGTAAGTATGCCGATTTTTAAATAATGCTCCATATATACATACATAACTGCTGATTTTTTAGAAGGGCCTCTCTTTCAAAAGATTCACTCATAGTTAGTTACTTGCTCTGGCAGAAAAATCTTTTTCTTTTTACCTTGGTGTTCTGCAACTGCGCAAGGCTCGTGCAAGCATTTGCTAGGAGAAAATCTCCACTCAAAACAGCCATTTTATTTCCAAACTGCATATCCTTCAGTGGGCCGTCACAGGACTTGAGCTCACCAACGTTTACTATACCACGATGCACCAGAAAAGCAGTGTGGATCAGCTCTGTAATCTCAGCCAGACTTCTTTGACTGAAAGAAAGAAAGAAAAAGGACAATTATTTTGATGCTATGAATAGAGATTCTTAAAGAAAATGGACAACCAACCACATGTACTAAACAGATATTTTATGAATTATTGTGTAGCTCTTCTGTGTACTGCTAGAAGCCACAACTGGGAGGAGTTAAGCATAGAGAACTGTCATTAAGTACTTCCAGGTAAGCAGCCACCCTTTGTCTGAATTCTAAAGCAAAATAATCCATACAGTCCTCATGGTGCTTTCTTCTTTTGTTTTGTCTACCAGAAGCTTGAGGGACACTGACATGACGAAAATGCCAAGCAGAAAGTACTGATGGGAAGGAACAAAGGATGTATCAGCGGGGGAACTGCAAGCAAGCCAATATGAACACCATAAGAATGCTGCAGTCAATGGCTGCTCAAATTAGCGTTTAATTAATAATAGGATACCTTGCAGTTCAATACGACCAAGGGGGAAGAGTGCAGGCAGAAGAAAAACAGTTGAACATTTTAGAACTGTGTACTAATGATTTTTCACTGATTGTTTCAGTCAAAAGCAGCTAAAGCAACTGTCCAGCAAATCCCTGTGAGAGGCTTTCCACAGAGCTTATTCCATAGAGGTTTGCCCTCTATTTTGATTTTTTTTGGAAAAGGCAGAGTCATTAGCACAGCCCTCTCCTCCCACAGTCCAACCCTGTTGCCCCAGACAGTTAGTGACTGTCACTCCAAGGAGCCCAGAGATGTGACCTTAGCTCAGAACTACAATGAGGTGTTGAACTGACATAACTGAGCAGGGACAAGGAGAGAGGGGAACAGAGCCATGCACTGCAGCATCCTTTTAACACTGCAAACCTAGATACACACGGGGACCCGTCCCCCCCTTATGAAATCTGCAGCATATTCACATCTTTTCTGACTCAAGCAGTTCCCTTTATGCCATGGAGACTTCACATATGAGCAAAACCACAATCCAGGCCCTCAACTAAACAGATGACTAAAGGCAGTTCCAAATAATTACAACATAGAACAAAGGCATGTTATGCTTCCTGTGCTTATTCAAAAGTGGCCTAGCGCTGATTCATTGAGTAACCAAACTGCTCCTAACCTTCACATATGCATATACCTGCTGATACACGCTCAGGTTAGATTCTGCCTCAGTACTAACATAATACTGAGTAAATTAATTTTCTTCCCTCTGGACAGTGCAGATGTGTTGCAACTGCCCCACATCATATTAATCTAAAGTAACCTTCTGCCCCAGATATATGTGACCTGTGAAGAGCCCCAGCAGCAACTGTTTCAGGCCAGCGATCTGTGCCAATTAGCAAGAGAGAAGAGCCAGGAGAGTCACATGGCCTGGGCAGGCATGCAAAACGCAGATGAGCTTGGGGAAGAGGATAAATAGAGGTTCCCGATGTATTTTGTCATGCACAAAAAAACTAAGCTGTTTTCAAAGCTGCCTGTATAATTCACAATTTTTGGCTCCACGGAAAGAAAAAGAATCCAAAAACCAAACAGCTAGCCATTCTCCATGTAGACAATAAAACCGAAGGTTGATGCTGCTTTTCAAAGAGGTGAGGGAGAAACTCACACAACCCAGCTGCAGTATTGTAATCACACTTGCCTCAGCTCTAACAAAGGGTTAATAAAATTTCAAGCTCCAAGAAAAAGACTAACAAGACATCCTGATGCTCCTGCTGTCATTGTCGGGGCAGCCCTTGGAGGATATGTCCATATCAATTCGGTTTATCAGATGGACAGCTGATCAACATTAAACAGACTTGCTCTGGGCAGATTGAGCTGAGCTACCTGTTACGAATAGCAATGAGAGCCCTCTGCTCCCCGCTGCCGAGCTCTGCCATTTCCGACTGCCGTAGATCCCAGGACATATGGGGATCCCTAGTGACGAGCACATAAAGCTGCAGCTAACTCAAGCGACGGCTCATTTCCCCCAGCTGAAAGCAGGCATTAATATCCTGAGGAGACCAGGCCTGCCTCTGTGACCCCCAACTATTGAAGCAAAACGACGACTGTCCTATTTCTTCGTTTAATAAGCTTTTAATGAAGGAAATAAAAATCCCCTCTTTGACTTCAGCATCGCTCTTCATGAAAAGGTTACACAAATACATCACCGTCATGCTTTCCAAATGCTCAGGATCTGGATGTTTTCATTTCTTTTTATATAATTCGCTTGTTCTCCAAGAGGTATTCATATTATTTGTGCTAACAAGAACCATATTACGCAGATAATCTGTGCCTAATTCTGATCTTACAAACTGCTCTTCCACCCTCTCTCCCTAGCAAACTAAAAATACAAGAATCAAAGCTATTGCAGGAATCCCAGGCAATGCATTTCTGAATGCTTTTTGTGATAATTTCCGTAACACCCAGGCAGAATAAGAAGTCCATGGGGCTACTGTGGATACAGGAGGATCCTTGACACAACTTTGTAAAGGCCAGTATCCAAAAAATAAACACTGCTATTACGAAGTTGCTATTGAATGGCTAAAGCAATACTATATACAGCTTTCTCGATCCAGAGTACAATTCAATGACTAAATAATTTCATATTTGAAAGCAGCCAATCCTAAAATACAAAAAAAAATAATGTTTATGCAATGCTGGACTTAGAAACAGGGCGATGAGATTACAAACTCTGACTGCTTCCATCCTGTTCCCACTCCAGAGCCCACATTCACACAAGAAGTGGCTGCCACAGGAATTACCTACCTACATAGCAAAGGAGAACTGACAAAATAGTCAACATTTTTAAACACACAAAATTCCTAAATGGAAGCAGGCTAAGAATCAGGAAAACTTTTTCACCAAATGCTAACACACTTCCACGCCTTTCACCTCTGAAGCAAGAAGGCCCTGCAAACCACCACCAAATGCCCCAGAGACTCCACTTTCGGGCATCAAGTTTCAAGAGATGATACTATTTTGAGCTCCACACACGACTTAACCTGCTTTTCTTTCTCCCCCTTTCAAAAATCAACCCACATGCAGAAATACACAAAGAAATGGTTGTTCCAAAGAGAATGGTACCTGGGGGACCTTACTAAGAAATTTTGATGGGTCACAGTCTGGCTATCATGGTTTAACACATGCTTCTGACTCCTTGTTCCTGCATTTTCAGTACCAGCGTACCTAATCTAAAGCTCTGTTAAATGCTTGCTGTAAAGTATCCCTTATATTATGGGCTCCTCAAGCTGTAAATGGCATTCTGGAAAGAAAGGAAAAACTAACTCCACAAGTAATGAAAAAACCCTTCAGCAAGGTCCTCTGAAGCTATATTGATTCTAGGACTGTGAAACACCAGTTTGCAGGAAAACACCAGAAAAACAAAAATTAAGCTATATGAACAATTAGATCCTGCAACAAAAAAAAACAAGTGCAATTTCTATTCCCTCTCTTTGCTCCCACCCCACAATGAAAGCACATAGATCACTGACATTTAAGTATATTTTGGTGAACTTTGATAAAGTTCTGAGCAGACTTTAAGAAATCTTTTATATTGGCCCACATAAACTAATGTAGTAGCTGCAACAACCTGCAACTGTGACACCAAAATAAGGAATATAGGTTTTGTAGAAACCTCACAGTCATGCAGGCACCACACCTAGAGAGAAAAATAAACAACTAATGGAGAAACTTTGTAAATATGCTTCTATCTCAAAAAAAATGCATTTCACAGTTTTGTTCTGGATTAAAATTTCCAATCTGTAGGCCTTGCAGTTTGCCTCATCACAGTATCACTGTAATGGTCTTACAGTGATGAACATCTCATGCAGAATTCACACAAATGTCAAAGCCTACAAAAAAATGTATGACAGGATAAAGGGGATTGGCAAAATAGTGAAACAAAATTCTGTGGCAACAAAATAGGTTTTGATTGTAAATTTCCTATGTAACTCCTAAAAATTTTGCAGTGTTTCTTCCTGGCATCCTGAATACGTTCTTTGTTGTTCGCATTACCTTTAAAGACCTGCGGCTATGAAACACTAACCAGTACAATCTCTGCAAGAGTTCTTATAAGTGACTTCAGTTCCTAATTTCAGGTCCTACTCTAAAAAGAAATAATAGTATTTTGTAAAATGTGATAAAACAGAAATATTAAATAGTGCATTTGTATTGCTGTAAACGAAAGAGAACTTCAGCTTAAATACTCCTCTGAAATATTTGTGATGGAAATTCAAGTTCTCAGTAACATCAAGAAAACTTGAGTCAGTTTACCTTTCATTATCAGCCAACTGTCAGAACTACACTGGGCCTCTCAAAGGATGACAGGTTACACAAAGAAGCATTTAATAATTAAAAATGTTATTACTAGGCATAATATTTCAGAGAAATGGGCCAAAGACTTAAATTAGCCACTAAAAACCACATTCAAAAATTTTTGAAGTAACTGCAATGAACAAAGATAATGGAACTGATAGATCAAAAATTCTTTAAGAACTTTTACCATCAAACCTTTGAATTAAAGTGACTAACAGTACACACCCAAGATTTGAACATTTTCTTTGTGATTGTCAATTCAATAGTTTCTCTTCAATACACAAAGGATTAATTCGGATGAAAAGCCTTACATTTGGGATTTAAAAAAAAAATAAAAAATTAAAACTACCAACATCCATTCCATTTCAGTGACAAGTATAATAATCTATATATACACATCTATGAATCTGAAAAAAAAAGAAATAGTTCTTTAGTAGAAATTACATATGAAAAAACATTAAGTAAAGAATTAAAGTAATAATCTCAGGTACTGACAATGTATTTGGGCAGAACTCCCTATCCAATTTTACTGTTTTTTTGAAAAATTAACAGAATGAAAAATTTTATAAAGACAAGAAGGTGCACACACTACATTCAATTTGATCCTGTATGTTCTGGATACTATTTGGTGCTGCACCAAGATAGCCCACTTAGTTACACAGCAAGAAAGGGTAGTGACTTTTACAATTCTTTTTCCCATTCACCTCTCAAAGTCAATGCCACGGTTACTAAACCACGATTAGAGGAACAACGTATAGTGAGTAACAAATAGCATCGTGGTGATGGAAAGTCTCATTCTCATCTTGTGTGTATAGTCTCTTCTATAAGAAATTAAAGGGTAGGGGGGAATGTTTAGCCAGTCAACATATGTGGCAGGTGCTGTGGTTTCACTAACAGGAAAAATCTTCAGGTTAAAGCAGCAGACTTAAGCAGAACACCAAATATTCACTGCATTACCATGACTCATATATCTGCAATCCAGCAGAAAACATCTACCCACTGTTATCCCTTAACAAGGTCAGAGACCAAGACTTCTCTGTTTTCTTCTATCTTGGTCACTTAAGCTATTGTTAGGGGTGCCTTTCACCTGAGGGATAAATGAAGTTGAAAGATATCAGTTCTATGAAATTTGTTGAGTATGTTGTTTAACTGCATTCCTAACAGCCAGTTTGTTTTTAAACTGGCTATATATCTTACCTCTTTCATATCCTTCTCTTCCTAGCATCACAAAGTTTTTGAAGTAAAACTTTTACTAATATTCCTTCACATGTTTTCC